CGAAATATTTTTATTTGGACTTAAATTTTTTCCCTATTTGATTTGAAAGTTTTTATTTTTTTTCCATAAAAGTTCTTCTTTTCTTTTTCTTTTTTGATTTTTTTTTCATAGTCACGATTTTTTTTCCTTTTTGATAAATTTATTTTTTCTTTTTAATAGTAATGTCCTAATATTCTTATATTTTTAAATTCTTTTTGATTTATAAATTCTTCCACCTCAATAAAAGGATCTATAATTGCATAATTTAATTCATCAACTCTACTACATCAACATCTTTAATTCAATCTCCAACCTTGTATGTCTTCGTATTAATCTATCTTTTTTTTTCATGTTTATGAATTTCTTTTTATGTTGTGGATTTAAAAACACAATAGTAATTGTTATGCCAACTCAAGTTATTTGTATTCAAATAATTTAACTTAGATTGTCTCCTTTATTTGTGTCTAATATTGATACTATGTTATCCCCTTTAATTGAGTTTTATATTGATATTAAGTGATTTAGATTTTATATTATTTATAACTGACATCCTTCATCTACTCATACATTCACAAGTTCATCTAAAGTAATCTCTTCATGTTATAAAATAATTTTCTTAAAAATAAAATTATAAATTATTATAATTATAACTCTTGCACACAATTTAAGCTAATATTGCAATGGAATCTGAAAAAGATTTGAAGATGCAACGCAACCTTCCGATGGAAAAATCTTTGGTAATTTCTTTAGATTTCATCAACTAATCTAGCATTCAATATATGCATAATATTTACTCCTATTTACTTAACAAAATATTCTGCAGATATAAGCACGAAGGTCCTTATAAATGTTTATTGAACTTTTTGCTCTTCGTTAAAAGATTTTACAATAGATAAAATTTTCATTTACTATTTTTCCAATTAGTTGTTGTTTAATTATTATATATCTTTACTAATTTTTAAGATAGAAAACTCCTAATATTTAGTATTTTAAAATTGACTAAAATTTTATTTCTTAAATCTTTCTTTATTTGTGCTATATTAAAAGTTCTAACATTTAAGACTTTCAATTATCATTATGTTAACTTATATATCAAGCCATTATCTATTAAACTAAATAATTATCCATCACAATCTTTCAATATGAAAAAAATAAATTAAAAGAGTGTAATTTTACTATGTATTAATACACCAATTTGAAAAAATTAAGAGAGTGTAATTCTTCTTCTTCTTCTTCTTCTTCTTCTTTTTGAAAAAATTGTATAATAATAATAAAAAACTATAGAAACATAACATACTTTAAGTTATTTTAATTAATCGAGTACTCTTGTTATTCACTCTTTTTAGTTAAATCTACACTATTTTTTCTGTTTTTAATTTATGTGAAGTATTTGACTAAACACACAGATTAAATGAAAAAGAAAAAATTAAGTTGAAATCATCTCATGAAGCATAAAATAAAAAGTTTAAAATTAATTTATTATTGAATATTTAAAGTATGAAGCCTCA